AAAGATTTCCAAAGATTTCCAAAGATTTCCAAAGATTTCTAAAGATTGCTAAAGATTTCTAGAGATTTCTAGAGATTTCAGGGGTTAAAATCTGCTTTTTCCCCCTTGATCTAAACGCCCGATGGCAATAGTGTCTGAATGCACATTTTGTGTTCTGACTGCATTTAGACGATATTTTAAGTTATTTTTAGCCACATTCAGACGCAATTCTGTTTCAAGTTGTGTTTGGAAGCAACTCTACCATTGTGTCTGAGCTCCATCCAGATTCATTCGTTTCTTCTACTTCTTATCTGTTTGTATCTCTAATAGGTTTACATGGAAACTAACTGTGAACTTCATGTTTGAGTTAAAATGGACATTTTTGCCTAACACTTAAATTTTATTTATTTTGAAATTTAAACTGCTACGCTTAACATATGTTTTATACAAGAGCGAAATTGATTTCGTGAAAAAAAAGTACTGGTAGTGACATGTAGCAAAATAATATTATTGTAATACCGTTTTCGAATGAATGTTCTATACATTTCAAAATTTGATACGTGTACTCATTTGTTTCTATTTCACAGATTAACTAAGTCTTCATGACTTTATATGCTGAACACAAATATGATGAGATTTCTTGTATCCAACTATTTGTGTTTATATTCTGTTTCATGCAATGCTAGCCACTGATATTTGAAACTGCAGATTATCAAGAAGAGTCCTCTTTAAGAATTCGAAACGCAGTAAGACTTAAATACGTCATCTATATAATTAACTATATAATTTTTATGCTTTTTTAAATAAAAAATACGTAGTTCAGTTTACTGCTCGAGATCTAGTCACGCGTACTGTGACGAAGTAATCTGCATTATTGATAGCACTATGTGCAGTTGCAGCTGGAAACGCGTTCAGATGCATCTTGTCTATGCAAAACAGAAAAAGAAACTACATTTACATGCACGATTGGAACTCAAAAGCATTAGTTGCATATAGGGGAAGCGCGTTCGGATGCAAAAGTAGAAGCAATTACATTCAAACGCATCTAAGTTAATATTATTTCCAGGTATGAACGCATTCCGATGCAAAAATGATACTGTTCGCGTTGAAACGCGTTTAAAAACTACTGTAAATCAGTTGTGATGCGTTTTAGTTACGAAACGCGTCTGAACGCATGCAAGACTTCGCAACGCGTTCAAACATCCCTATGATGAACGCATTTCAATGCGTTTGGAGGTTGTTTCAATTCCAGGCGCATTTAAACGCGTCAAAAATGCATTTTATGATTACATGGGAGATATGATTGCGAAGCTTTATTATGATATTGCATATGTAAATTACAGATATTATCGTAGCGATGTAGTTAAGGATAATTTCCTTTCAGTGAAGAGATACATAGGAAAATTCATTAATTAATTTGATCGTGAGCATCAAATAAATGATAAAATAAACATCGTAAAATTACCAAGGTACTTTTTAGATTCAGTTTGTGATCTTTATTCAATATTGAATGACGAAGCAGAGAAATTTTGTTCTATTTAAGGAATGCAATTGTACTTGTTCCGACTAGCGAAGGAGGCGAATATATGATCTATTTTTATAGATAATGGTCGCTTGGTTGAAATTGAAGTTTATGCGGAGAGCGCATCGGTTAATAAAAATAATGAAAAATAGGCATTGTGTGTTTGTAATATAAACGAAAAAGTTCAATGAAAGGAAAATCCTAGCAATTTTTCTATCAGATTTGATTCTGCAATAAACACTTTTAAAAACTGCTCTGATAATAATTACTCAGATCGAAAATGAAACTCTAGACAGTTTGCAATTATCTATATTTAAACTTTTATCTGAAATAATTGAATGCAATTCAGAAATCAGTTTCATCGATCAAGCAGAGAATCATATAGACCAATTGAGAAATACAGCTTGAGAAGATTTTCAAGATAAATTAATCGAATATCAATTAAGAAAAGAGCTAATTGTACAATTAAGACAAGTTATGAAGTATGAAACTTGTCTATTATTACTGCAAGTAGGTAATGTACAATATTTTCTAATAATAAAAACTTGAAAATGCGGAAAATTATAATTTAGAATTTGAAAAATTGCAAGAAGTTTCTAATATGTCTAATATTAGATCAATTTTATTTCTTCATAATCCGCAAGAAAAATAAGCTCATTGGAAAAGTTGGTTTTGAATTCCAGACAGAGAAACAACATTTTTTAAATTAGAAATTAATAAAAGTTCAATTTTGAGTGAGTTTTTTCAAACATTTCTATCATAATAAAGTTACGAACAATTTTTCTGGTGAATTACTCGATTCATTAGCAGAAAAAAAAATGTCTTTTTAGATATTAATCATAATGTCAATTTTAGAAATATTCTTTTTGTAAATTATCAATTTAATATAAAAAGTAAAAGAATAAAAATTATTCATTTTTGTGATTTATTAAGAAAGGTTTATCACTTAATAGAGGGTGTGGGTGTAGGTATGGATAGTTATACTGGAGTTATCCACATCCACATCCACACACCCACATTTTTCTTTGTGTTTACTTTAATATCTTCTAGATTGGAAGATTCATTTTGAAAAATCCAATACTTTCATCAGTTACTCCATTATGATCAGTATTGAAACAAAGTTTATCCAACAATGAAATAGTTAAAAACTGTTTAAATTTATCCAAAATAGTTTCAAGATTCATTTCTAGGGATAAAATGTACATTTGGAAAAGAACCGAAACAAAATCTGATAGATGTCTGATATTTTACTAAAAAACAATATTATTCTATCATTTTTGAACATTCCAATCCATTGAAAAATCATAAATGAAACCTTACACTGCTTATTTTTCTCCAATTTGACTCATAGAATTACATTTATAGACTGTTCTCTTAACACATATGGTTTAAAAACTGAAACAATATGTTTAAAATCGAAATTATAGTTCATTTATTGGAATATTTGTGTTATAATTGCTTTTGCGTTATTATCATGACGAAATAAACGTGTTGTCGTTTATTGGCCTATGCTTCATGTGTCAACTTGATCAGTCCCTAACCTTTCAACTATCGAAAGATATGAGTACGTAGGTGAGCAGGAATGAGTAATTTGGCTTCGTCTAGTCGTTTCTGCGTCTATCTCTACACCCATGACAGCGAAGTGTATTCCGCTCATCGTTCGATGAATTGAGTGGATGGATCATCTCCTCACCCACATCCTTCATGGAAATATCTTCCAAAGACATTAACTCTTCGTAAGAAGATGTTCGAATGATTCTGTTTTACTTACTGATAGTCAGTATATATTTATATACTAGAAAAATGATACGTGAACTTTGGACAATCTCCTTTTTGGAATGAGAAAACTGAATTCTTCCTGGTACTAGTAAAAAGTCGTAAAAACGTGGCTAAACTTCTGCTAATATTTAGCAGTTTTTATCAGCATACCCCAATATACAAGCAAAAATATCGCATATTGAAAATCAACATAAAAAAAGGACATTGACGTAGACATATTGTGACGAAATAAAGTTCTTTCAAAAATTCACTTTTATAGTTTTATAGATTTATCAAACAGGGTGTGGGGGTGGAGTGTGGGGTGCGGGTGGGTGTGGGTGTGGGCGTGGGTGTGGGTATAATGTTCTTCATTCAATCAACAGCCACAGCCACACCTCACCCTTTAAAATCTGAGCGATTTCTTTTTATTGTTCGAATGAACCATGATTTTCAATATTAAAAATAACTGGATAACTAATAATATGTAAATAAAAAAAAGTAGGGTGGGTGTGCGCATACTGTAAAAATCCAAACCCTCATCCACACTCACACCCACAAAAAAATACTTTTGATAAAATTTCTACATCTCCGTGGTTTATTCCATTATAGAAATCGATGATTTGCACTGTTACATCGGCTTTTCTCATCTCTTCCTGGAGTTATGGAGTGTGGGTGCGTGAGTGTGGCTATGAATACACAGAAGATTCACACCCATACCCAACTTGTTGTTTCATCATTAGCTATCACCTGAGTCCAATCTTGAGTCTTCATGGATTCTGTCCATGCGAGACGCTCTTGTCGATGATGTTCAGTTAGTAAGGATTTTGATAGAGATTTTGAATACTTGAAGCCAACATCAACGAGATGTGGTCGAATAGTACGGCTGCTTATATCAATCCGCTCTTTTCTTAAGATCACGTTGGATAGTATTACGAGTTACTGGTCCTCCTATTTCCTGGTGTGGGTGTGGATGGAGTATGAGTGTAGTATTTCTGTCGACAACCTCCCTCATACCCGTACCAACATCCACATCCATACCTCACACCCACACCCACCAGAGATAGCAGAAGTTGTGGCAAATAAAAGAAAAGATTCACAGTCCATCGAAGTCTAATTAGTCTGTTAGAGTCTGAAAAATCCAAGAAGTCTTGAGAATCCCTTGTGGATTCGGAAAATCCAAAGTTCGAAAAATCGCTCGTTTCCCTTGCACGTACGTCTCTCTATTTGTCGTCACAGTGGCAAGTTTTGTACACAGGTGGTATTGTTTTGTCCAGTTTGTTCTCTATTTCATTGATATACTGTTGGGTTTCTGTAATTTTTTCATATTCCGGAACATAATTGGCTTGATAAATTCGAATTGCTCTTTTGAAATAATCTAATGCGAGTGAATAATTTTTCATGCCAAAATATATTCTACCAATCCACTGTAATGAAAGCGCAATAATCGGATGCTCAGATGACCGATATTTTTGTTGTATATCCAGTGCATTCTTTCGATATTTTAATGCCTATTCATATGTTCCTAGGCTGTAGTATAAATCACCAATATGCTCTAAACAATCAGCTCTAGCTTGTTGATCTGGTGGCGTACATCTCTCAAATATCGTTAGTGCTTCATGATAGTATGAAAATGCTTGAGTACTATCTGTTTCACTGTATATATCGCCAATGGTTTGTAATGTGTGCCCGATTCGAGGGTGATTTTTCGGTAAGTTTAATCGTTGTTCAGCTAATTTCATGTTACAAAAATTGATAGCTTTCTCACGTTCGCCATTCTTATTATACGTATTAACAATCCCATTCAGATCCTTGGTGAGATAAATATGTTCACTAGGTAATACTTTTTGATTCATTTCGTATGTTTGATAATAGAACTCAAGTGCACGACCGAAATTCAACTGAACTTCGTATACGAAACCAATGTTACATAAGCATCGAGCAGTTATACAATGGTGTTCGGGTAGTACATGTTTATACATTTCAAGAGCTTTTGTAAAACAGTCTAATGCATTATCATACTCTTTCTTTTGTCGAAATACTATACCAATATTTGCCAATGTCCTTGCTATGTTCAAATGATCACTCGAATAATTTTTCTGATAAATAGCAAATGATCGCTTCCAGTAATCTAGAGCCTGATCAAAATCCTGTTTGTCTTCATAAACTGCGCCAATTCTGTTTAGCGATGAGGCAATCTGAAGATGATCGGAAGGTAAACGTTGACAACGTAAATCATATGCTTTCATGTAAAAGTCTAATGCCATATTCCATTCACCTTTCTCAAAAAATATATTTCCCATTTGATGATAAACAGACGGTATATCTTCATGATCATATGGTAACGACTTCAATAATATTTTAAAATATTTCTCAGCTTTATCAACTTCTCCGACATCTCGCCAGAGGAGATAACCAAATAGAATAATTGGACTATACTCCGCTTCCATTTGTTTTTGTGTAAATTTCAAATATTCATTTGCTTGTTGTGATCCTTCATCTGTTGCCGTCATGTAAACTTTCCATATATTCATAGATGAATCATATCTTACGTGTGTGATGATGAATACGGCTCCCAAACTAAATAAAACTTCTTTCTCCTCTTGTATACGGCTATATGTTTCAATATCAGCAAAAATAACAGATTCAAGTCGAGGATCAGCTGTAATCTCAAATAAAACAGTTTTCGTTTCATCTGTATTGTGACGATTGGCAATGAAGGTAAATGCTACGCTGAGGTATCTTGAAGTTGAAAAGAATCCGTTTGGCGATATCGGAATGCCAATACTTTGTTGTAGTTTTTCAAATTCCTCTGTTGGCATTTCCTGTCCACGATACAATGTTAATACTTGTGTAGAAGAAAGCTTTTTATGTTCGCGTTCCAATTGTGAACACAGATCGACAATGTAGAATCTAAATAGATAAAGAAGTTCAATGTCTTCTGTTCTCAATACTTTTTTGACTAATCGATAGACAAATGAATCAGCTGTATACCATTCAGCAGCTTTGTCCATCGTATATGTCATTCGAAATTCTTCAATCTTTCTTAATTCAGCATTATTCGATCGATAATAGTCTGAACATTTCTCAAGCATGTCATGAAGAGCTTGATCAGTTCGTGGAATTTTTCTTAAAATAGTAAATAAAATTTGAAAACCAAGAAAAGAGGCAGACTCTTTTGAAAGGTTTTTAGTAGATTTTTGTCTGTTTTCATCGAATAAACTGAATTCCATTGTCTGTTTTGTGACAAGATGAATTCTAGACCGCATCGATTTGATTAATGCTTGTTTATCAGCAAACATTCGAATAGTTTTCTTAGATTGATCTGGGTGAGATAACGATGTGTAATGCTCATGATCAGTACAGAATATGAATATTGAATTGACCGTTGAAAGTGAGTAGACTTCGGGTACAATTTGTTTTTCAAATGCATCCGATATAACAAGAAATATTTTCTCGTCTTTGATAGATCGGATAAAATCGAGACATAGCTGCGGATCGGTATAAAACTGAGCATAATTATTTGATTCTCTCAGCAATGTTTGTGTGTGTTGTGAGTCAGATGAATCATCGATATTTGGATCACACCAAATCAATGTCACATCTTCAAGATTTCGTTCAACATCGTAGGGACCACGATTTCGTTGGCTATTATTCGTCATTATGCAATCTAAATCAGAATAGTTTAGGAGAAAATGAAAGAATAATAATTTGAATACCTCACGTTCATTTATATTTTACTTGTCTAATAGTAGATTAGAGAAAAAAGAGGCGATTAACCTGTTGACTTTTGGATGCGTATATATACGTCCGGGTATTTGGCTTAGAGTACTAGCGACGTATATGCATCCTGACTGCAATGTATCTTTATGTAGTGTTAATTGCTTTAAAAGCTATCATACAAAAATGAATTACTGTTTCTTTGACACAGAAATGCAATTTCTTTCAAAAAACAAATAAAACGATATTTAAACGTTTCTTATAAAAAGAACGAGGGCTTGTAGGGTACCTACAGTGAGCCATCGTAAATTTTTGTCTTACCACCCTGCTTGTTAAATACACGATGGAAGATTTCGCCGAGTTATGCACTTTTTCTAATGAAACCTGGTACTTCTGAATATGAACAGAAAAGGTTTTAGTCGAGTCAAATTCTGAAATGATCCACAATTGAGAAGTTAACTCAATCAAAACTCTCCCTGTTCATATTCCGAAGTATCAGATCCCGTTAGAAAAAATACTTCACTCGGCGAGATCTTTCATCGTGTATATGATGATCAGTGGTATATGGCAAAAAACTTATGATGGCTCACCGTAGGCACGTTATAGATTCCCGTCCTTTGGGTTTCTTCCAAAAAGCGGGAAGTGAACGGGTTAAAGTCGAACAAGTTGTACCAAGAAAAATATTATCTTATGATACAGCTACTTATCTTTTGAAAATATCTTCTGGCAGAAGTTTGAAAACTCCACTCTACAAAAAAATGCTAAAAAAGGACCGAAAATGCCTGGGTTTTGAGTATTAGCACAATTACTTTTTCACAATGGTGAGGTATATATCGACGCTTTTTTCGGGTTCTCCTAAAAGAAAAGGAGAAATAGAAGAATAATTGACTATTAATCCTTTTTTTATCTTTCATTTCTTTCTCCTTTTCAGCTCTATATATCAGAGGCCCAAATAGGTGTTAGACCTTCCCAGTTGTCAGAGTGGGACAGGCATGGCCGTGATTTTCGAGCCTGGAACAAGTCAGGTAGATCGCGGGTGTGAGTGTTGGGTGCGGGCATGGCTGTGAGTATGAATTATATCTTCACTCACAAGCACACCCACCCACATCCCACACCCACAAGCACATTCACATCTACCCACATTCGCACACCTACATCCGCACCCACATCTACACACCCACACCTGACACCCACATCCACGCACGCCCCAAATCGAACATAGTGATCAATTCTACATTAGCCACATTCAACTATAATATTTCTAAAATGAAAAATGTGTATCAATTAGAAGTGAGTTTGAGCATTGCGGAAACTTGTGTCACTACATTAGAGATAAGTGTATCGCTTTCGCTCTCAAATCGACATTATTGATTATAAAATAAAACAGTTCTAAGTCAGATTATGTTCTACATTCGATTAAAACGAGCTCTCGTATTCATACAGATACAGATGGAAGAAGAATATAAGCATTGAGACAATTATTTCCTAAAAATAGTTTTTCTAAACAACATCAGCTTCACACAATGAATAGAACTGTTACTAAACTACATCGTGACACGTTTTTTTGTTGTGTCATAAACGATCTACCATATTCAATTAGTTTTCTTTGCTATTTTCGATTACTTATTGTATACTTATTTTGTTTGTATAAATTCGATTAATAATCGATGACCATACTTGTTCCATGATTGTTCATGCGTATTTTGTTGGCATGAAGAATCTATTATTGCCAAGAAGACTATACAGACAGCCTATTATGATAGCACGAAATGAATAATGTGAGAATAAAATAAAGGATAGAGCTTTGATTTGATCACGATTAGCATCGGCTAATGTATATCGATTGCGGATAACACTTCGTCAAGTGTTTCATTGTGGGTTAAATATTCAGTAGAAATACGAGAGATAAACTACTGACATGAATAGAAGTGTTCGACTCTGAGTTAGTGTTTGGCCTTTTAAGTTTGCAAAGGATCAACTTGTTCTTTAATTGCTTCGTTTTACTCTTCTGCGAACTAAAATGATGAAAATCGTGTTTATGTCGTCGTTGTTGTAGAAATGAGAGATAGTAAG